AAGCAAGTGAGGCACAATGCAATTGCTCACCACCTGCCGACAGATACCCAGGTAGTTCCCGAGCAGCAATCGCTGCTCCCCAGCCAACCCCCCCCAGTTTATATACTGAGCATGACGTCATACAGTATGGAGTAGCCCTTTGGTCAGTTTGGCTCAACTATTCTGGCTGTGCCCCCTCCCAGTTTCTTGTGTACCTGGCAGAGCATGGGAAGCTGAAAAGTCCTTGAGTAGCATAAGCAGTACTTAGCAACAACAAAAAACATCAGTGTGTTATCAACATTGTTCTCCTACTAAATCCAAAACACAGCACTATGCCTGCTACTAGGAAGAAAATTAGCTCTATCCCAGCCGAAACCAGGACAGACAGTTACAGTTGAAAAAGCAAGAGGAGGTGAGTGGGTGAACTGAACAGTCTGGAAAAGGTAAGAGAATAATGAAGGGACATCACACAGGAGTGGTGCACACAGCATAGGTATAAAATCTGGCTGTGGTATGGTCAGTTGTAGTATTCACTGTAGAGCGGAGTCAGCTACCGTGCTAGAGAGTTTTTCAGACTGTTTAGGAGCCTGGGTTAGCCTGGTGCATATTAAACCACAGCAGCCGTGTGTGGTCTGTGAATGCCTTCATGCAAGACTCTGAACTGGTCTGAGTATCCTGTTCATAACCTTCCTCTTCCTTTGCTGCGTAGATGAGGTCCTACTTCGTGGCTGCTGTCTGTGTGCTGAAGAGGCCCTGGGCAGGATAGATCTGTAAAAAGCAAATCTGTCTTGCTTGTGGTGAACCCTGTGTTTTACAACTCCTGTTGCTAATGCAGATCCTGCTGCTGCCACTCCTCCTCCCCACCCTGAAGCCCCTGCAAAAGTACAGAGCGTAGAGGACTTTGTTCCTGATGACAGCCTGGACCACAGCTTTCTAGAAGACCCAGCCCCACAGAAGGACAAAGGGAAACTGCAGACAAAACACCATGTCGATAGTGAAAGGTAAGGAAAGGAGGATGGAGGGAGGGTGAGACAGGGATATATCTGGATGTGCAGTCTGAATGATGGCTCAAGCCTGGCTAACCTGTTGCAACTGTTCAGAAAGTGATTGCAGAGCAGTTAGCTACCCCTAAGCCTTTCTGGCTGTGGACTAGTCAGTCATCTCATTCACCATTTAATGATACACGCTGCTCCCTGTGAATGAGGAATAGCAGTAAAAGCTAGTTATCACCTTCCTGGTTTTGCTGTCCTGCCTTCATGCTCAGTGTTAAATCACTGGGTTGCTTTGGGTCAGGAAGGGATTCCTCTTCTAGCCAAACATCTGAAACATGTGAGATACTTTCCTTCTGGAACACGATGCACTTTGCAGGGATATTATGTTTTGCCTAATGAATACTTTCCTGCTGCAGAGGCCCAAAGCATGGCTAGACTCCTTCATGGCCTGGTACTGCCATTCCTGAGGCATTATAAAGGGGTTTGTGTTTGCTGGAAGACACCTGGGGGCACTGCATGACTCAGTGGGATTCTGGAAGGAAGGATGAAGAGGGTCGTGCTCCCTTGGGAGTATCACTGCCTGCTTGCCTGCAGATTCCAGAACAGTCTTAGGGGGTACCTTTCTTTTTCTCTGTCCATTTCTGATGTTCCTTCTCAGCATTTTCTCTCTAAATTGGAGAGATACGGATTTGATGGATGGACTGTTTGGTGGATGAGGAATTGGCTGGATGGTCACATCCTGAGAGTAGTGGTCAATGGCTTGATGTCCGGATGGAGATCAGTGATGAGTGGTGTCTCGTACTGTTTAGTATCTTCATCAATGACATAGTGGGATTGAGTGCACCCTCAGCGAGTTTGCAGACGATGCCAAGCTGAGTGGTGCAGTTGACACACCTGAGGGACGGGATGCCATCCAGATGGCAAGCACGAGAAGTGGGCCCATGTGAACCTCATGAGGTTCAACAAGGCCAAGTGTAAGGTCCTGCATCTGGGTCAGGGCAACTCCTGGTATTAATACAGGCTGGGGGATGAAGGGATTGAGAGCAGCTCTGCAGAGAGGGACTTAGGGGTACTGGTGGATGAAAAACTGGATATAAGCTGGCAATGTGTGCTCACAGACCAGAAAGCCAACCGTATCCTGGGCTGCATCAAAAGAAATGTGGCCAGCAGGTTGAGGGAGGTGATTCTGCCCCTCTACTCTGCTCTGGAGCCCTCAGCGCAGGAAAGACATGGGCCTGTTGGAGCATGTCTGGAGGAGGGCCACAAAAATGCTCACAGGCCTAGAACACCTCTCCTATGAGGAAAGGCTGAGAAAGTTGGGCTTGTTCAGTCTGGAGAAGAGAAGGCTCCAGGGACACCTTATTGTGGCCTTTCAATACTTAAAGGGGACTTACAAGAAAGATGGAGAGAGACTTTTTATTATGGCCTGTAGCAATAGGACTTGGGTAGTGATACCCCTTGCGTAATGGTTTTAAACTAAAAGAGGGTAGATTCAGACTAGATACAAGGAAGACCTTTTTTACAATGAGGACAGTGAAACACAGGAACAGATTGCCCAGAGAGGTGGTAGATGCCCCATCCCTGGAAACATTCAAGGTCAGGTTGGATGGGGTTCTGAGCAACCAGATCTAGTTGAAGATGTCCCTGCTCATTACAGGGGAGTTGGACTAGTTGACCTTTAAAGGTCCCTTCCAACCTTAACTATTCTATGATTCTATAATTCTATAATTCTGTCCTCCAAATGGGAGACAGCAGTGCTTATGCTGTATGCTGGATTTTCTTTTTTTTCTTCCTTTTCTTTTTTTTTTCTTTTCCTGGGTTTCATGGTTTTTCACCAAAAAAAGGGGAAAGGGATTGTGTATGCTGAGCTGCTCAGACAAGAGGATGTGCAGCAAGCTGTCTCTAAGCTGTCACTTAGGAGGTGACCTAAGCATACTCACAGGCTCTGCATCCCTCTGCTTAGAATAGTCCTTGCCTGCTGCCTTTTGTCATCAACACTGGATTAACCAGGAGAGTAATTAAATGCTGATACAGCTCATCTGTGAATGTGGTGGATTCTGCATCTTTTGACATCTTTGTCATGATTCAGTGTTCTCTAGTTCAACCACAGCAACTTGAAATCAATGCTGTGTGTGAGGCTCGATGCCTGTATAATGCAGGTCAGCCTGAATCATTATCCCTTGTGATGGTAGAACACATGGAATTATTATTTAAAAAAAAAAAAAAAAAAAGGAAAAAAAGTGGTGGTTGCTAGAAGCATGCTGGCCTACAAAGCATCTTGCTCGCAGCTGTGGCTGAGCTGGGATATTTTTCTGTGTTTAACAAGGAAAAATCAGAAGAGCCAAGCCTGGCCTTCCTGGGGTTTGGTGAAGGACTGGGCCCTGCAGTGGCCTTAGAGCTCTTTAGCTGCAGTTCTTGCTGTGGGTAGGAGGCTGGATCTTTAGCAAAGTCTTCTCTTCTCCAGAACATCAGTCGTTGGAAGCAAATAGGTATTAAACTGTACAAAAAGCCAAACATCTCAAACAGTGGTGCAAGAGCCCTGCTCCTTGGTTGTAGAGTTGTCTTGTTCTTGGCTGCTATGATGCCCTTCTGTGCTGTGTCCCCAGTCTTGGTAGCCTCCCAGTGCATATGAGGTGGTGGGGGCAGAAAGAGAGACACCGTTGGGCTGTCACAGACCACAGAGAGGACACTTGTTCACAGCATCATCCTTTGATGACAGTGGTAACCATCTGCAGTTGTAACAGCTCTGTTTCCCTAGGAGAAGACCTTGCAGTGCATCCCTGCAAATTCAAATGCTCGTTATTTCTCTGCAGCTTGGCATCCATACCTTGCTCTGGTCTCTTATGTAGTTCACACAGTTTTCTCAGTGGTCTGGCAGTCTTACCTTCTGTTTCTTGCCAAAAAGGGCCTACCACAATAAGCCAGATGTGGTGAAATTCAAAGATGTAGATGTGGTTCTGACCATCACCTGCCATAACTGATTTCCTTCAGGATGCCAGTTACAACCCCATGATGCCCAGGAGCAACATAAGAGTTCTGTAAGCACCGTCCCTAATAATCAGCTTCTACTGCAGTGAGTAGGCTGTTGTAGTTGCAACAGAATCTACTGCTGCAGAAATTTATCTCTGACCTAAACACAAAAGTTCTCCTGTGAAACCACTCAAACCTAGTGGGGATTTTATTGGTTTTAAAAAATGAAATACTGGAACCTGTTTTCCCCTTGCATCTGAGTGAGGAACAAAGCCTGAGAACTTGCTAGAGAGATGTGTTTAGGTCTCCTGAACGATTTTAAGCAGGTATCTGAATGTTAAACTTACGCAGCTTGCCAGCATTTCTTGTAGGTGTGCTGTAACCAAGTGTAAGCTTGGAAACTGAAGAGCCATGGAAGATGTGGCAGAAGAAAGGGCTGTGTGTTGAGAATTTGTAAAGTTACTTGTCTTACCCAAATAAGAGGAATTGCCTTGCTGTCTGTAAGCAAGAGTCTTGCAGTTAGCTCATGTGAGAACACCTTGGTGCACAGTGTGTTTCACGTGTGAAGCAGAGATAGTTACGTTTACCGAATCATAGAATGGCTGCGGTTGGAAGGCACCTCTGGAAGTCATCTGGTCCAACCTCCCTGCTCAACCTGGGTCACCCAGAGCCAGTTGCCAGGACCATGTCCAGACAGCTTTTAAATATCTCCATGGGTGGAGACTTCACAACTTCTGGCAACCTGTACCACTGCTTGGTCACCCTCACAGCGGAAAAAGTGCTTCCTGATGTTCATAGGGAACCTTCTGTGTTACATTTTGTGCCCGTTGCCTCTTGTCCTGTCATTGGGCACCACTGAAAAGAGCCTGGCTCCATCTTTTTTGCACCCTCCATCAGGTCTTTAAATACATTGATAAGGCCCCCCCAAGCCTTCTCTTCTCTAGGCTAAGCAGTCCCAGCTTTTATGTGAGAGAGCCTTTCCTTATGTGAGAGATGCTCCAGTCAATTAATCATCTTTGTTGCCTTCCATTGGACTCTCTCCAGTATACCCATGTCTCTCTTGTACTGAGGAGCACCCAGAACTGGACACAGCACTCCAAGTGTGGCCTCCCCAGTGCTGAGCAGAGGGGAAGGATCACCTCTCTCAACCTGCTGGCAATACTTTGCCTAATGCAGCCCAGGATACCATTAGCCTTCTTTGTGGCAGGGGCACATTACTGACTTATGTTTAACTTGGTGTCCACCAGGACCCCCAGGGCCTCTTCTGCCAAGCTGCTTTCTAGCTGGGTGGCCCCCAGCATGTATTGATGCATGGGGTTGTTCCTCCCCAGGTGCTGGACTTTGCACTTCCCCTTGTTGAACTTCAGGAGGTTCCTGTCAGCCCATTTCTCCAGCCTGACAAGGTCCCTCTGGGTGGCAGCATGACCCTTTGGTGCAATCAGCCACTCCTCCCAGTTTGGTGTCATCTGCAAACTTGCTGAGGGTACACCCTGCCCCATCATCCAGATCATTAATGAAGACGATAAACAGGACTGGGCCTATATTGATTCCTGGGGCACACCGCTAGTTACTGGCCTCCAACTAGATTTCATGCCACTGACCACCACCCTGTGGGCCCGGCCATTCAGCCAGTTTTCAATCCACCTCACTGTCTGCTTATCCAGCCAGTACATCAACAGCTTCCCTACGAGGATCTTATAGGAGACTGTCAAAGACCTTACTGAAGTCCAGGTATCCACTGCTCTCCCCTCATCTGCCAGGTCAATTGTTGTATCATAGACTTTTATCAAGTTGGTCAAGCATGACTTAGCCTTGGTAAATCCATGCAAACTACTGCTGATGATTTTCTTGTCATTCATGTGCCTGGAAATAGTTTGCAGGATTAGCTGCTCCATCACCTTCCCAGGGACCGAGGTGAGGCTGACTGGGCTGTAGTTCTCTGGGTCCTTCTTCTTGCCCTTCTTGAAGATTGGAGTGACATTTGCTTTGTTCTTCAGGGAAGTTTTCAAGCACTTCTCCCAATTGCTATGATTGATCAAAGATTATCAAGAGTGGCCTCACAATAACATCTGCCAGCTCCCTCAGCACTCGTGACTACATCCCATCAGGGCCCATGGACTTACATATGTCCAGTTTTGTTTTGTGAAAGATCCTTGACCTGATCCTCTTCCACCAAGGATACATCTTCCTTGCTCCACATTATCCTCCTGGACTCTGGAACCTGGGATTCCTGAAGGCTAGTAAAGACTGAGGCAAAGGCAGCACTTCAGTAGTTCAGCCTTTTCCATGTCCTCTGTAACCAGGTCCCAGGTCTCATAGAGGAATGTGCCCACATTTTCCATAGTCTTCCTTTAGTCACCTATGTACAAGCCCTTCTTGTTGTCTTTGAAATCCCTGGCCAGATGCAGTTCCTCTGGGGCTTTAGCTTTCCTGATTTCATCCCAAGATGCTCAGACAATGTCTCTGTATTCCTTCCAGGCTATCTGTCCTTTCTTTCGCCTTCTATACGCTTCCTTTTTGTGTTTGAGTTTGTCCAGGAGCTCCTTGTTCATCCATGCAGGCCTCATAGCATTTTTGCCTGACTCCTTATACGTTGGAGTGGACCACTGTTGAGCTTGGAGAAGGTAGTCCTTGAATGTTAACCAGCTTTCTTGGGCCCTTCTTCCCTCCAGGGCCATATCTCCTGAGACTCTTCCAGGCAAGTCTTTGAAGAGGACAAATCTTGCTCTCCTGAAGTCCAGCTTGCTTTTTACCCTCCTCCCTGCCGTCAGGGTCCTGACCTCCACGAAGGCTGCCTTTGACTGTCACCTTCCCAACAAGCCCCTCATTTTTTGTGGGTATGAGGTCCAGCAGAGCACCTCTCCTTGTTGGCTCCTCTGTCACTTGGAGGAGGAAGTTATCATCAACGCACTCCAGGAATCTCCTGGACTGCTTAAGTCCTGCTGTCTTGTCCCTCCAGCAGATATGCGGGTGGTTGAAGTCCATGAGGACCAGGTCCTGTGAACATGAAGCTGCTCCTATCTTTTTGTAGAGGGCCTGATCCACTTGTTCTTCCTAGTCAGGCAGCCTGTAGCAGGCACCCACTGTAGTGTCACCTTTACCTGTCCTCTCTTGAATCCTCACCCATAAGCTCTCATTTGGCTCCTCATCCATCCCCAGGCAGAGCTCCATGCACTCCAGCTGCTCTCACATAGAGGGCAACACCTCGGGGAAGACGGGAAGGTCTTGCTGTCATTGTTGGAAGCAGGATGTTATGCTGTGTAACTGAACTACTTCCTGAACTCAGGGGTGTGTTTGCTTCCATTTGTAAGAACTTGTTTGTTTTTCCTTTCTGAGCTTCAGAAAGAGGCTGTAAAGTCTGGTATTTCTCATCCATTTTGGTGACATAGGGAATTCTTGATTTTTTTGCAATGATGTCATGTCAACTTTTCCCATTCCCTACTCCATAATGTCTCTAAACAATGGAGCAAGAGTTGACATGGAGCAGTAATGTTAGAAAAAAAAGCTTTCTTTTTTTCTGAAGCATGCTAGCAGTGAGGAATGAGCTCATGCCTGTGGAACAGGGCTGTTCTTGCCCAAAGATCAGACAGCTGCTGAGACTTTCAGCACTTAGTGATGTCTCTTGGTGTTGCTATAGCTAAATCCCAGCACAGATCTACAGAGATTAATGGAGTCGTGGCTTTTGTTTAGTGGCATGTTATGGTTCTCTAGCTTGCAATAAAGAGAACTCTCAAAATCAATTTCTTTACCGGTTAATTAGGAAGGCAGTTCAATCTCCCAGTTTGCTGTTTCAGAACTTAATTTGCTGTTCTTTAGCCTGATGCCCTGAGCCAGTGTGTATGCAACTGTACCAGAGGAGCTAATCTGGCTCCAGATAGGCTCCCCTCTTCCCTCCTACACGGTCAGGCTGGCCAAGGTCCATGGGTGGGCTGTAGGTGTCTGAAAGCAAGTTTAAGCTATACCTAACAGTATTCCTGTTCTGTCTTCTCAGAATCACTAGACATTTATCTTAAATGTTGATTAGATTTCCTTGTCCTTATATCTGAAGGACTTTGAACTGGTTCTTTGCTTTTATGGCATCTGTTATTTATATAGTGGTACCCAGCTGCACTAGACCAAGTGAGAGAAGCTGAGGACACTGATTGGTTCACACTAGAAGACCCCCCATCTCCTAGAATATAGTCACGCAGGCTCATCCTGTGGCGTGTGATTCCCTCAGCTTATCTGCTTTATTAGAGTTTGGGTTTTTCCTCTTTCTCTAGCCCCAAAAACTGATGTGGCAAGAGGATTCTGCTGGCTGCCCATGGGGCTGGCTCCGCTGGCCACATGGCAGGGCTAGTGGAACATGGTCAATCTGGGTTTGAGACCATGTGCTCAGGTTGCAGCAGGATTTGCTTCATCACCAGCAGCCATTCCTGTGTACACGACAGAGGGCTCACTGAGGAAACCCTGATGTGCTCTTTGATCAGTAGCTAGATACAGACCTTGGCGAGTGTAGTCATTTTTGGTGGGTACCTGTGCCTGCAAACACGTTGGCTCAAGACTAATGCAGGCTTGGCAACTTGTCAAGTGCTGGAGTGAGTGGTGCAATGTGCTTGTTTTTGCATGCTCCAAATTCCTTCCAGCTGGAACTTCAGGACCACAAGCTGATACTAATTTTGCATTGTCAGACCTTGTTTATACTGCAGCAGTGATTTTCCTGATGTATATTCACTCCATTGCTTTGCTCTTAAGTTGTCGCTCAACAATTTGTGTTGAAGTTATAGATGGAGGCAGTGTATTCACTGCAAAGGGAGATGACCCACTTTGTGCGGGTGTGTGTACACACGCGGATGCTCTGCTTGGACTGGGAATGCTTTAAAGGCTGCAAGTCTTGTATGGTGTGCAGTAGAAGGGCAGTGGCAGTGATAGCAATCTCTGAAGAGTCTCTGTGCTTAATAGAGCAATGTCTGTTAAAGAAATGCAGTGTCACTAATTCAGAATAATATCCTGCCATTTTTAGGATGCAACTCCATTTTCTTTTCAGCGCATTTCAAGAGGGAACACTGCCAGTGCTTCGCAGACCTCAGATATCACTCACTTTTAATTCCTCCAGCCTTGGAGACTGTCTTGGGCACCAGTTTTCTTCTCCTTTGTGTGGGATGGGCTGTATGCCTCCTTTCTGGCTCGGTATGAGAGCAACTGTTAATGATGAAGAGGCTCTTCAGCAGCCTGCCTCTGCTTAGCTGGGAGCTGCACTGGGAGTCCTGAAAGCAGAGGGATCCACACCAAAAGCAGAAGGAGGGAGTGGATGTTAGCCCTGATCTTAGGACTCTAACCCAGACAAGCATTGGTTGTAATCACTCTCAATGTGCTGCACTGGTTGTCATAAGCGTGGTGTCCCATTTATCACAAATAACTCCATTATCTGTTGGCAGATATATTAATTCTTTAAAACGAACTTGTAAATGACTAACTAGCCATAAGAAGAGCCAGAGTGAGTAGTACAATCAGCCGGACCATGTTAGGACCTCAGCATTTCCCATCCCATCAGCACACCATCCTCCACTGTCTCTTCCAGTGCTGGCCCTGTGCTAGTGACTGGGAACACCACCGTCTTCGGGATTAAGGATTTTAGGTTTTTGTGATTCCTTTTGTGCCTCTAAAATCTAATCTGTTCCAAGCTATAATATTTTTTTTTTTGTCTCTGCATATTTTTAGGGCTGCATTTGTACAATCTGTATTGAGTCATTAAAAGCACAGTGACTTGTGTATGGTAGGTTATCAGGAAGCAGCTGGATATCTGTTGCGGATAAAGCAAATAGAATGAGGAAAGGTGATGCAAAGGCTCATCAGCTGAGGCTGGGGAAAATATGTATGTTCCTGACATGAGCAAATCCTTCAGAAAGTACTAATATTTTTGAGTCCTGGGGACATTCAGACAAGAATCCTCAGCTGGTAATTTCAGCTGCGAAGCTCTCTGTCAAGATGCCTCTGAACATATAATTGTGTTACATCCAGGGAGTCTGACAGACTCCTAGCTCTAAAAGTGTGTCCTTCGGTTAATTTAATTTGAGGAATGTTAAAGCATGGTTATGGTGTCTGGGTAGCTGCCTGTTTCAGGGAGCACCAGAGAAATAGAAATAATTCCAGGAAGCTAATAGCTGCAAGTGAATTCCCATAGTAGTGGCAGTACATGATCAGGTTTAATTACAGGATGTGGGGATTAAGGCAGGCAGTTCCCACGGTTTAATTGGCTGATCCTTGCATGTTGGACCACAGATGTTCGAACAGAGCTGGAGTAGCAGGCTGCTCTGTGGCACTGAGGCTCACCTTTTCCAGCCACTTATTTTCGGCTTCAGCAGTAGCAGCCACTGTGTGACATCCTTCTGTGGCCTGTTTTGTTCAGGGCATGTGCCGCCCCTGCAGCCCACAGGGTGCAGGTCCAGCCTGAACGGGGCAGCGGCTGGTCAGTGTGCAGGGAGAAGGCTGGCAGTGCAGCTGCCCTGGGCTGAGGGACGTTGGCCCTGAAGTTGGCCAGAAAAGCCAGGCAAGAAGCAGTCTGCTTTCAAGGGGAGGAGGCATGTCTGTCCTAGCACGTCCTGGGAGTGCTGTGTCTGATCGTTGTCTGTTTTGCAGCGATGGAGAGGCACCCGGGGGGAACCCCATGGTGGCAGGTTTCCAAGATGACCTGGATCTGGATGACAAAATCCCCAGCAGACCCATGCTGGGAGCAGAACGGGTGCCCAGCAAGAACGTCACCCTCTCCAGTGAGGAGGAGGAAGAGGAAGAGGTGAAGGACTCTAAGGTCGTACTCATACCTGATGAAGACATGGACATGGAGCACGAAAAAAAAAGGTACGAAGCACAGCCTGAAGTGTGGGGTTGTGCTGGCAAACTTGGGCCTCTTCTTGGTCCTGCCTCTGACTTCTGTGTGGCCTCTGGGAGATCCTGGTGTCTCTATCAGCCTGTTCCTTCAGCTGTAAGCTGGGGCTGTATTTACTTTAGGTGTGACTGCTTTATGCAGTGTTTTCTGCACCGCACCTAGGCAGCATGCCTTTGAGCACTGTGCTCCTGTGGTCGCTCATACGTTTCTGTTCGGGAATGGCCCAGCCTTTTTCTCAAGTTTGAACAAGAAACTGTAACTGAGCGCCTGAATGTCTGTTCGTAGTGGCGTGAGGAGTACAGAGGAGTCGAGTCTTGTAGTGAAGGGAGTGGAAGTCATTCACCACACCCTGTGCTGGAGAACGATGAACTGGATCATGTTCTCTGTGTACCACATCCTGTGGGTGATAGTCAGGCGTGGCCCGCTGGCACAGGCACCTGTGCATCAGCATCCTCAGGGATGAGGACTGTCTTCAGTCTCTGAGTGGTATGTGTTTGAACACACACTCCCCTAGGATGAACTACCTCTCCTGTTGAGATGCACATTGCAGCCCTTGAGGCAGACTCAGTTATTAATTGGTCTTTGTGCTTTGCTTCACAGAGTGGGAGTGTGGACAGGCTCTGACAATTTGTTTCTTTCTTAGGTCTTCCAGAAATTCTCTGAAACCACAGTGTGAAGAAATTTTGACCAAAGCAACTGACCCGAAGCCTCCTGACAGTTTACCTCCACGTTCTGGGTCTGAAAGAAACAGCAGCAGTAAGCTCAACACTAGCCTGCCAGCTGCTACTGCTGCCATCCCAGCAGCAGTCCAGGCCCCAAAGACCACTTCACAAAGCAGAGGACATACTCTCAAGCAGAAAGTGGTCAAAGAGGAAAAGCCTGAGGAGTCTGACAGTGATCAAGAGGGACCAATAGCTACTCAGATGCTCTCATTTGTTATGGATGACCCAGACTTCGAAAGTGAGGATTCTGACAGCCAGAAGAAGAAAATGGTAAATAACGTGCATGAATTGCTGTGCACTGCTGCGAAGCTGAGCTTGAAGTGTTGAGGCATCTCACTGAGCAGAGCTTTCATCTGCTCTCCCATCTCTCAGTGGCAGTCGCAGCAAGTCAGGTGCTAAGCAACCTGAAGAGATTTCATATAAGCACAAACCTACTAATGCTCTGATTGTTGAAGCCACACAGCAGCAAGATTTGTGCGTACAGGTTTTAATGTGCTGTTTATTCTCACTAAATCCAGAGCACGGTCAGTCCAGCAGTGTGGAAGGTATGAAATACAAATCTTTTTCACCCAAAGTTTAATATGTAAAAGTGCGTGCATGCCAGAGAGAGAGAACAAGTGAGCTCCCTACAGTCAATCCAGCAATCAAAAGGCCATAACAAAATCTGCTTGGCACAGCTCCTTACTTAAGTAGGAAAATCTGCCTGAGAAGGACTTTCCAGTATAGCCAGCTTAGCTGTAATGTCTCTGTGATGCTGAACATGTGGGCAGGTGCTCAGTGCTGCCTGCAGGTGTCTGTTCAAACATACAGTGCAGTGGGAGTCCCCTCTGCACCTCTCGTATAGTAAAGGTGGAGAAAACGCAAGCATCTTCTCTGGGCTGGTAGGAACTCGCTGCTCTGGCTCTAGATATCACTGATTTCAGTGATCTACACTCTCAGCCAGCAGAGCAATCTCTAGAAACTGCTAACCTTGATTTGGGATGGGCAATTACCATTCAGGGATACTCCTGGTGTCTGGGTTAGCTGGTATTCAGGAGTGGTTTATGTGTTTGCATCATTCCAGAATCCTGCAGAAAGGACAGTTGTCCCGGTTTCTTTGACCTTGCCTATGTGTTATGCTGTTTATTAAGGAATTCTCCATTCGCTTAGCAGTTTCAGTACCTGCTTTTCCTGGCACTTTCATATTAAAGCAAAAGTATTTGCAGCAAGTTTGCTTTTCTTAGCATGCAATGATGAGAAACAGGATTTGTGAGGGAGCTTGCCATTGCAACAGTGTCAGGGAGATGCCCCACAATTTGTGAATGCTTTTCTAGTTCAAGGTTTACCAGTCAGGCAAAGCCATAAAAACACCACCATTAGCAAGGAGGAGGGGAGCATTGCTTAGGTCAGCAGCAAAGCAAGGCCGTGTTCGGTCAGTGTGTAAAGAAAGGGTGGTTAACGAATTCTGAAGAGGATCAGTTGGCAGGTAATCAGAAGATCATTAAACTTCATTTCCATCATGCAGAGACAGGGGATTTTTGGGTGATGTCCAGTCTCTGCAGCATCCTGGTTTTTAGCTCACATTGAAGGGGCAAATTTGCCCTGGGAGCACATTCCCTTTTGACTCGCTGAAGGGAGTTACTCTGCAAACACAGACCGCTTCCTTGGCCTTGCTGCATGTTGCCTCTGGTAAGCGAGACCCCACAGAGCTACACAGGAAAAAGGTTTTGTCTGACAGGTCTGGAGGTGAGTTTTCAGCCTATTAGATTTGATTTTCCCAAAACAGATATGCCTCTCTAGGGCAGTTAGAGGCTGATGTTGTTGCGCTAACACAGTTGAAGGTCTCATTTAATCTCTTTACATCAGAAATTTGATTTTGGTAGTGCAAATGTTATCAGAGCACACTTTCCAGTACCAGTGCTACCAAGACATTTTACCAAGGCAAGAAATAGATAGAGTTTATAAGATCAAGGGCATTGATTTCCAGGCAATAACAGCTCAGTTCAGCTACCACTGCCTTCCCTCCTCCCCACCTGCTGACATCTGCTGTCTTTGTATACAAAACGCTTAGTGATTTTCAGTTGAAAGATTTGTCTGTGTTGTCTGCCTTTTCTTGTCTCTAGGATGAATTCCCGGTCCGGGAAGATCTCTCTGAAATATCCGATGATGATACCTCGTTGGCAAAGCCATCCCAGCCTGTGAAATCAACAGTCCACTCCTTTAAACTGAAAAATGACTCAGATCTCTTTGGTTTGGGTTTGGAAGAAACTGGTCCCAAGGAGAGCAGTGAGGAAGGTAAAGGTCACACCTCATTTCCACTCTTGCTGATTTTGTTTGTCAGGCATCTGTTTTTTCCAAAATGGTTCTAGGGTGTAAGCAAACCAATTTGCACTAAATAAAATACCCTGTAACTTCATTCAGTGCCCTGTGTTGAGTCTTTAATGTGGTTTAACACAGCATAAATAACTTACTTTAAGCTTTCCCCCATTGTGGGGGGGAGAGCTGGGCTCCTCCATGGCATCAGCCATGTATTATTTCTGTCCCAGCTGGAAGCAGGCGCACATCTTTCACAAGCTGCTTCTGTATAAGGCTTCCTGCTTAGCCTTGCAGGCCTGGGAAGCGGTGCTCAGCATTGCAGTGTCCACCCCCTCAAGAATCTGGATCAATTTGCGCAAAATGCTCTGACTTACCCTGCCAATTTGCTCTTCTATTTTTGGGAAAGGTGGGGTGGGGTTCTGATTACAACCTAAGCATTCCTCAGGCTTTTTTTTTCCCCCTTCCCCTGAGGGAACAAATCTTACTCGCACAAATAATTTCTCCTGTCTTGGCATTACTGCAAAGCAACTTCCTATAGATCTGCCCCTGATGTCACCATGTAAGATGAGAAGTTAAAGACTTAAGGGGAGAAAAAGCTGTAAGCAGCACCAGAGAGATCTCTTTGAATAGCTGTTCTGAAAGTGTAAGCAAGGTGTCACAGGCTGTGATGGCTTCATCGGCTTGTTGCTTTGAGCTGCTGAATGGCACAGCTTGAAATAGCTAGAAGTGCATCTGCCAAGGCCCAGGTCAATAATTTAACTTCAGTTTAGCATCTTTAGTAATTCAACATGGGTTTCTCCTATCTCCTCTTTCTGGGATAAATATAAAAACATGTCTTGGTAGTCAGTCAGTTGGAGCTTGACCAGCAATTAGACTTCTCCATGGCTAAATTGTATTTACAGATCAACCAAGGAAAAGAATGTGTAGGTAAGATTGACAATCAAATGCCACACATGAAATGTGGTGCAGTTATAAACCCTCCTGTGAAACAGCCAAGTAGATATTCTCCTGTTAAAGGAGATCTTGTGCAAAGGCAGTGGACGTTCAGCAGTCTAATTATCAGCCAAGTCATCAACGACAATAACCTGGGACAAATGATTTGACAGTGATGGACTCTGGGATTCATTCGATACTGTGAAAGTAGCCACCCCTGTGGAGCAGGGCTGCAGCATTGATGCTTTGGCCTTGTGGTGATATAATTTCTATACACAATTTGAACAACAGTGAGTACTAGCCTACTAGGGTGCTCCCATCTGCTGAGAGTGTGTCCTGAATGGTCTTTCCATTACTAGCTCAACTCACAGAAGCACAAACCGTGCCTGCTGGGATTTCTGTCTGCCTTTGAATATGTAGTGGTCAGAAGGAAATTGTTCCCAGGAGCTCTTCTTCAGTTCTGGAAATAATAATCTGGTCCCCAGTTTGGCCTTTGGACCAGTCTGTAGAGCTGGTCTCTGCATTTGTTTCTTAGTAGCTGTGATACAGCAAACACTCAGGTCAATGTTCATAACACAGAATAATATAGATAATAGATAGATGTATATGGTTAAGTTAGGGTGTGACTGCTGGGGCATGTGTTGGTTTCTACAGGGGTGCAGTTTGTTCTGAGGAGTTGGGATTGCCTTTGCACATGGCTCCAGGATGGAATGTTTTGTTCTCAGAAATCGGGGCAGGGCAGAATTGCATCTCTTACAGTTTCAATTGATTAAAAACAGTGTTGGTTTTTTTTGTTTGAGCAGATAAACAACCTTCTAAGGAGAAAAAGAAGAAGAAAAAGAAAAGCAAAGAGGTACTATTTAATTCCTCAGAGCTGATTTGCCATATTATCTACCAGCCAAGGAGATGGGTGGCCTTCTACAGCGTACTCTGTGTACCTGGTGGACTTCCTTCCATTCTCCCATCCTACAGCCAGATCTGTGCCTCCCAAGCTCTGCAGACCATTAACCACTTCGCAGCTCAAAAGCAAGCTTTTAGAACAGTTGAATTTTAAAAAGGCGGTGTGTGAGTTCGTAAAATACAGGACTAAATAGAGCAGTGCATCTCTGCTGGGCTGAATCTGTTGATAGTACCATGACTTCTTCCAAGCAGAGGGGTTTCCCCAACAGACCTAATCTCAGAGGCAGCGAGGGAAGTCTGGAGGAGGCTTTGTCTTTGACATTTCTGCCTGTCCAATACTGTGGTATTGTCAGCACAAACTGCCTGACGGACCACTGCCACATATAAACCAGATGGTCTTTCCTCTCTTGTGTCCAAACACGCAGAAGGGTCTTCTGGAATTAACTCCAAGACAGCCTTGGTAGTAGATGCTTCATTCTAAGTAAGGTTCCTTTCAAAGCCAAGTTTCAGGGCGATGTATGCTGGGTTACTGGCATGCTCAGAGGATTTACTAATAAAAATTTTCTTATTTTTCAGGAAGAGGAGAAGTCTGTGAAAAAGAAGAGCAAACACAAGAAGAGCAAAGAGAAGGAGGAGAGCAAAGAGGAGAAAAAGAAAAAGAAGAAGAAGAGCAAGGAGAAAAACAATGAAATAGATGAACTTGAGGCTTTTCTTGGAGGAGGAGGAGCCAGCATGAGCAAGCCACGAGGAGGTGGGGACTATGAAGAGCTGTAGGCTGGCCACATGTATGTGCAGCGGACTCTTCTATCGTGGCTGTCTCCATCTTTTCTTATGAGTCACACCAAGACAGGTGCAGATGTGTAGAGCTTTGGCCATTTGCCATATATTCTCTCAAAACAGAGCTGGCAAAACAAAAGCTTTGCATCTGTGTGCTGTTCTGGTGCATCCGTTACACAATGAAAATCCAGCTGAGATGTACTTGAGAAAGGGGAAAGTTCAGGGCACAGTTCCCAGGCCCACTTCCAGGCTGTCATTTTTTCTCCTTCCAGAGATACCCCGTCAGATAGCTGGCAGGGTGTGGGAGGTGAAGGGGACCTGCCTCCTGCTCCGCCCCTGCTATGTTTCACTCCTGCACACCTGAAATTCCTGTCTTGTTAAGAGGAGTGCAACAAAACATGCCGCATGAACGCATCGTGCTCGCCTGTCTCAAGTCTTTAACTTTTTATCCTTCCTATTTTTTTAATGAGAAAAGTGGTATTGGCCATGGCTCGACCCAGCAGTTGATGAGCTTTAAATCAGCTATGGTACAGCTCTCTATAACAGCAGCTGCAGGGCCAGAGTGAGAGAGAGTGCATGTGATTTTGGAGTCCTTTGAACGGGACCTTTCTGCACAGCAGCTTAATTAGCACTCACTGGTGCTGCTGTTGGAATTCATGAAGTCCCATTGATTTCCGTGGCCCCAGTGTCTCAGACACTACACGTAAGCTGCTATGCAGTTTGGGAAAACAATGCAAAATGCAAAGCTAACCTGAAAAAGAGAGAGGAAAATCAGTGCTTTTCTGCATTTCCCACCCTTGAATTTGCATATACTAGAATCCCCTCCCTTCAGTACCTCTCAGGGACATGACTCTCATGTAGAAATGAAGATATCCAGAGCTTCAGAACTGTCTACAGGGAAGTGTTAGTATGGCAAGGCATTTGCTTCTCAGGCATTTTACAGTCACGCTGTCAAACACCGTCTGCCTCTCTACACTGAGAGGGACAAGCACTGTAGCTCAGACAGCGTCCTTCCTGGTCCAGCTTCTGTCAATACTGCAGCCGTGTTTACTGGGCCGAGCCTCCCAGCAGCCAGTGTGCTGCCTTTCCCTGCCCCAAGTGAAGAGCCTCCTCCTAACCCATGAGTTTGGGAAGCCCTTTAATTTTTGCTTTGAACTTAAACCCATGGATTGATACCTGCTCAGCAGGCATCAGTTGCCATTGGATGGGCACTACAGGCCAGCCCTTCGCACTTGCCTGTGTCTCAGTGAGCAGCCCCTGTGTTTGATGGAGCTTGTTAGTTCTCCGTACCCCCTTCTGTTTTGGTTCTGGTGTCCCTTTCACAGCTCAGACAGTGAAGCTCCCTCCAGGTTCTGTGCATTACATTACCCTGTTGCTTGCAGGTTGATTTGACATTTGGTTTTGTTCCTCCTCTCCCATTTTTGTTGTAAAATGTCAACCATGAAATCCAAACTGGGGTTTCCTTCTACATTGCTATAAAGTAAGGTGTTTTTTTGATCTGTTATCCACTCCAGAGTTGTCTTGACCAGCAGGCTGTTACCTGCTCCATTTTTCTTTTTCTTTCCCCCAGCCCTAAAATGCACTTGTAACTGTTTCCCTCTAAAACAAACCAGGTTTTTTTGCTGCATGAGCAGTATATTGTTCAGGTCTGTCTGCCATTAGCCATTTACCTACTTCTCTGAGCATTACTACATTTCACGTGACACCGTAGGGAAATTGCATGGGACAGTTCAAACTTTGCATGTCTGGGGAGGAAAAAGTGGATTGGACGTGACTGGTTTGCGGCCTCTCTTGCAAAAAGGCAGGCAGGTGTTCAAGCTTCAGCTGGCTGTGTTCCAAAAGCACTTCTGTTCTGTGAAGATTTTGGGTCATGTTCCATTTTGCATCCAAAAAAAACTGGTACAATCCATTCTGACTATAAAGCTCTGTTCTACAACTGCCTATGCATATCTTCTTCTCTACTGCAAGCATGTCCGTCTGGGCTCAGGCGCTGCGTGTCCCTCCAGGACTGTTTCACAGAAGGACATCCGGCTGCCCCTTCCTCATGCTCTTGCATTCTTACACTTCATGGGACAGGGCACTAAATTAAAAATAGTTTAAAAAAAAAAAAAGAAGTTGAACATAAAACCCATGAGTTCTTTCCCCAAAACTGAAGTCTGTCCTGAGAGAGATGTTGTTTCATGCAGCATAAGGGAGACGGTGTTTTTGTTCAGCTCTGCTTCCTTGCAAACAGAGCTCTAGATTAGCAGAAGGCTGTAGAGGCGCTACATCCCCTGGAAACACTGATATTGGCATTGGTTTGTCTTTCACCTGGGCCAGACTTGACCACTGTAGGAGCCTTTACACTCCCTGCAGCTTGTGTTCCTTGTCAGCACAAGGAGCTGAGACAAAAACAAGCAAAGATGAGTCATTATGTTCCAAAATACTCCATTAAAAGAGAAGAGCAGATGCGGGAGCTCTACTTATGCTAGAGCCCCAAGAGGGTGTGTGGCATGTTTTAGCTTTGGCAGCAAGGCCAGAGGAATCCCACCCTGTGGGCATGGAGCATGGAAGGCAATAGCAATTAAAAGGTGCTTTTTAGACTTAAACTTCTCCCGTTTTTGGGGAATGCTGAACTGGTTAGGGATACAGCATGAGGTGTAATCCAGTGCCAGCAACCATGAGTGAGGGAAGATAGAAATAGACCTTTTCTGAGCTGGGCTCTCCCATGTCTCCCAGTGTTTCGAATAAGCTAAATATAAAAAGCATGTGTACGTGCCTGTCATTATGGGGAAGCTTCTGCAGGATCACATTGATATAAATAGTTCCTGTGAGCATCTCTAGAGGTACCAGTGTATTTGCTTTTGGGTTTTATCAGTCATCCACAAAAAAAAAAATTAAGAGCTTGAGGCTAAGAAGCTGCGATGTCTTGCAGTTAATGCTGGCCAGAGCTGCATGCTGTACAAGGTCTCAGTTGGTTTAGAGCAGCAGGAGGGAGAAGTGCAGATTTATTGCTGCATTTGTAGTCTTCCAGCTGGGCCTGGTTCCCAAGCACAGCCAAGAGGAGCCCTGTCCTCAGGGGCTGCTGCTGGAGGCACACACCTGAAAGCTGTACTGCCCGTGCCCTGCTCCGCACCACTGGCTGGTTGAGATCGTGGGGCCCTTGGCCACGATATGATTGCATCTTGGCTTCCACTGTGCCAGTTTGAAGCCAGAGCATTCATGGTAAGTCATGAGGTAACTCCAAGGTCCCCTGTTCCCACCCACTGTGTCTTCCCAGCTAGGATCGCTCAGCGGTACAAGAGCTGCCTGATGAGCAGCCTCGGTTCGCTCAAGCATCAGACTGGTATGGCAGCCCTCCAGGAGGAGAGGAGACTAGTCTGCCAGAGTCCGTGTCTGCTTTGTGGACAGCATGTGTAGTATCCCAGCTGGGACAGCCGGAGCTGTGCTGCTAACCCGAGACATGAATGGGAGCTGTGCACCCAGTGTTTATTTTAGGGAGTGTTCCTTGCTGTATCTGTCCCTGGAGTGGGACAATCCAGTGTGACAGTTAGCAGCTCCTGTCACTCTTGGCAACTCCTGGCACATGACTTGGTGTGGCTGCTGCAACGAGACATGGGTGAAGTCATACTCCGAGAGCAGACTGACGTTTTGATCTCCGCAGGCTTCATAGCAGGCTTTCTGTGCCGGCATCCCTGTGGCTCCCGGGCTGGAAGCTGATGTTAGTAAGACCTTCTATCTCACCTGCACCTGAGTGGCCTGGAGCTGTCAGACTCCTCCGTGCTTGTACATCATCTCCCCAAGGATTCCTCCTGTGCAAAGGCAGCATGTTCACAGCATCTTTCGCCCAAGTCTTAGCACAGGTGTCTGTCCCTGCTTGCTAAAGCTTTTGCTCATTCTAATCTGTGTTAGTGGCTGTCACAAAACTTATCCCTGCAAGAGAATCAAGCTGCTTAGCACTGCTGCTGAGCCGTGTACCCCAGCCCTGCATGACACAGCCTGTGCAAAAAAGGACCATGTCTCTTGATACCCAACCTATGGCTTCCTCCACCCCCTTGTGGAGGTGGTAGAAACATAGCAGGTAGAAACATAGCACAAGGACAGAGTGACCAGTCCTTGCAGTTCCCACCACCCCCAAACCAGCTCAGTTTCTGGCATCCCTGTGGGAAACTGTGCATCAGTCTTCTGCCTTGAGGCTCGGGAGCTGTCTGATAATTGCCATCTAGATTTATTCCTGGCCAGTTTATGCTTATTTGTTCCTTTGCCAGCACTGTTGTTTAAATACTGCTCACCACTCCTAGCCCTGTGCGGACAGGGCTTGTGTCCCTGCTCTGCTTTTGTTCTGCTGGACAGGCTGTCCCCTGGCTGTGTTAGCAGCCGTCCTTGGCACTGGCTCCACTTTGAGTTCATCTTTCTGTGGCCATGCCAGTCCAGATGAGGTCATGCCAGAGCTGATACTTAATGATTCCTGTAGAATACATCTCCTGCTGCACCCCGTGATGGGGATGGCCTTTTTCACAGCTGTATCCTGCTGAGGACTTGCAGCTAGCAGCTGGCTCACTAGTGTACCAGGTCTTCATCGTTCCCCATGATTTATGACAAGGGCCGCATGCAAGGAGTGCAGTGATCCTGCCCTTTGAGGGATTCAGCTTCACCCTATTTCTGTTGCTCCCATAAGGTCACAACAAGTTTTTCCCTAGCTTGCCAAGGCCCGGGGTGGGAATTTGCTTCCTTCCATCCAGCAGTGAACATGAAAAAGTTATTGAAACTCGGGTTTTAGCAGGACACAAAATGAATGTGGGAGCTTGCAGGTGCTCTTGGAGGAGGCCTGGCCTGCGAGCAGCTGCAGGCTGCTGGAGGTGCTGCAGGACCAGACAAACACCTGGGCTGCGACAGGCCCCAGTGCAGGATGGGCCAGGCAGAGTTGGAGGGCTGCGTGCAGGCAGGTGGCTGGGCTCCGGGCAAGATGTCTAATGGGTGTGCTGCCTGCAGCTTCCCTGCAGTCGAGGGTCCTGCAT